TTCCAATAGCAGCTAGCTTAAGGGCTAAGACTAGACGAAATAGAACACAAGGATACATAACAGAAATTATGTTTGCTAAAAAAGCATGTGGTAATGAGTAATTCATGGTGCATTTAGTGCCAACCAGAGCCTAAGGTAATGTGTCAAAAACACCAGAGTCCATGCTTGTGAGAACACCATGTGAGCACCTGTGTGTGTTCACATGCTTGTGTATGTAAGGTTTCTCTATAAGAGTGTCTAATAGTGAGTGTGAGGGGCCACAGACCTGCCCCCCAAAGACTCGTGGAAGATGGAGGAGATCCTAGCCCCAGACATCCAGAGGTCCCTTCGGGGTGTGGAGACCCCAAAGTCTCAGCCACAAACAGATTCTTTACTTCTATAGAAAAAGCTGCTGATCTTTCTGTCTTCTGCAATCTTGAGTTTGTGAAACTTGTGAGAGAAGAAGAGCTGAATTTAAAAGGCATTTGTCCATGCAGAGTTTACAAGTTGCATAAATGGAATGCATCCCCATGCTAATCTGCTTCCCTGGTACGCAAACAGCAAGGGGTACATCAGGGGTCCTTTGATATTCCTCAGGTAGTTCAACACCAGGCTTTTAACCATTTACTGCCATTTATGAGCACACTTATTTTTAAGTGAAATCAGAATTCTGTCATTTTTAAAAGATTTTCGGGATGACATTTGCAGCATAAAAACATTTCCCTCTGAAGTTTGCAACCTAAAAGTAAAAAAAAAGTGTTTTCCCTTCTCTGCAGCTTCTCGTAAGTCACAAAGTTTAAGTAACACAGGAGGAAATTGGAGTTAAGCCTCAATCAAATATCTGATCGATAGTTACAAGCAGCTTAGACTTCGGCAGTTGGAACCACAGATACTGATCTTGGCAACGGATTGGAACTCTATTGATAAAGGATCCCGTGAGCTGGCCTTAAATTGCCTGTCAGCGTTGAACCCTTTCGACACATGCGATACCTAACCGTTACTCGTGTTCTCTCACGGAAGATAGAAGGATAAGGAGGCTGAACTGGACCATTGAGACACAATCATGAAAAACAGACTGTAGAATCTGTTGCCTTGCCAACCAAACCCCTCAGAGTGTAGGGTTAAATATAAAAGATGCTCTGCCAATGCAAATATAGGTTGCTATCTGTCTTCATTATGTTCCTTTTGTTACATTTTCAAACATTTGCAGAAAAAAGAGAAACGTTCTGATCATTGACTCTTTGCTACGCAATCCTAATTAGATATTTTCCTGACAGTGTAATGTGCACACCTTAAAGGTGATTACCGTATAATAACATAGTTAGAACTTCAAGCCACTGAAACTTAATAGACACCACATATGTGAGCGATTTATGTGGTTTATCTTAAACACAGCTACTGCATAACTTTTTAAAATGTGTGTTTAATTTGTTTAGATGGCACTCATTATTGTGGTGCAGATATTAAAACTAATAAATTCATGAACAGACTTATCATTTCTCTCCAGATGCATTAACCAGCAGATTACAGAGCCATAAAGCACAGTTATCCCCGTAAAAAATACAAAAAGTTCACATCTGATGATTCCTTTTTTCACTCCCCCATGGTGCAAGCGAGTCGATGCCAGCTTTTATACCTCCCTCTAACATAAAACAGACTTCTGGAAATAAACTGCTAAAGTTTTGTGGTCAGCTTAATTTCTGCTTCTGACTATTAATCTCCAGCGGAGCCATCAGAGATACGGTGAAGGCAGGAAAACAGCAAACTTGTTGCTTAGGAACAGCAAGAACTAACCCCAACGTTTCTTCAAGCGTCTGATCTTGTCTCCAATGGTGCTCATAGCTGTGTGTGTGTGTGTGTGTGTGTGTGTGTGTGTGTGTGTGTGTGTGTGTGTGTGTGTGTGTGTGTGTGTGTGTGTGTGTGTGTGTGTGTGTGTGTGTGTGTGTGTGTGTGTGTGTGTGTGTGTGTGTGTTGAGGGTAGAAGGTGGAGGGGGTGGTGGTGGTCAGGTTTAGCAGAGGTTGTTCCTAAGCAACAATTTTTTTTCCTTTTAATTTGAAACTAGTTGGTTTTTCTGTATTTTCTGTTCTTTATTTGCCACTTTTCCTCCAACAGGAGTTTTCACCATTACCGTACAGCCGACTGGTTTGATGAGGCATGAGCCGACATAAATCTCTGTAAAGAGAAAAGTGGGAGCACATATTCTCACTCTAAGTATTTTATGCTGCTCTGGTGATTTGTCTTCTTGGCTGACACGAGGGACAACCGCTGTTTTGTCTCATCTCTTCCTTTGAAACTTTTGCTTCAGCATGATACTTGTTCAGTCACACACTAGTTTTCTTTTCTTTTCTTCCTCTGCTCCTAAAAAAGAGAAAAACAAAAATGACTGAACAGTACATTTGACCTCTACCAAACGCTGGCTTCTCAGTTCTCCCTTCATGACATGACAGCCTGGCTGAATAAAGTAAACACACAAACCTTTTCTTTTTCCGGCTTTCAGCTATTCAAAGTCCACCGGACAGCTGTTAGGGTGCGAGTTTGATGTATCGCTTTCAAATGTCAGCTCATGCTCTTATTATCTGAAATGTTTTCATTAAACAGCTGAAGATAAGCCCCCACCATACTCCGGGAATTATTTAACGTAATATCTCATTCTCATGTCTTATAAATGAGTTCCACAACACACTCAAAGTAAGTAAACACTCATTTATTCATCAAATTTTACCTGCAAAGCAGAAACTGGCTGTATTATGTCACACTCATTCTCCATGACAGTATGCAGATCATCAGCTAATTGCAGCGCCTCACCCCTTGCATCCCCACACACACTCGCGCTGCACTAATTGAGCTGGCATCGTTTGCAGGAGAAGCTCTTTGATCTGTGTTTTAATTGGCTGCGTGCAACGTTTTTAATCAGTGTTCAGGCTGGATGTTTCAGGTACAGATCTGTGGTGGACTCTGTGTTTGTCAGGCTCCAATTAAAGATTTCTTCTTCACCCCAAATGCACTTAGAGCACATATTCGCTTGTAAACGTTGACCTTGTGGTAAAAATTGTAAAAAAAACAACAAAAAACAAAACAAACAAAAAAAAAACACTTTTACAAACTATCTATAAGTGATAAATATTTCAGGAATCATAAACATAATAATTTGATGCAATTCATTTAAAATAGTACTTAAATGTAGAAGAAGATTTCAATTTCTGGCATGTAATTCTTCAAATATACATACATACATACATACATATATATATATATATATATATATATATATATATATATATATATATATATATTAGTAATTTATTTAATTTGCTTCCTATTGATGGAAACATTATTAAATATTTATTACATTTGTATGCAGGAACATCAACAAAAAACAGGCTTTGACTTTAAAACGGTAACAAATCCAAACATATCTAATTCCGTGCGATGCAAGAGAACATTTTCAGTAAAACAGCAGCTGGAACACCATATTAAAAATGAATTCCTTTGAGATTTCATTCAAAAGAGGAAATCTGCTAATCTTACCTTCAATAAAATGCATTAATAGAACAAAAGCAAACACCTAATCTACTGAATGTTGTGTGGAGTGGTGCACGTGCAGCTCCATGGGGGAGTTCCTCTAATTAAAAGAAACTAAGTGGTGTTTCAGGGGAATTTTAATGGTGGCATCAAATTGACATCAGGCTAATGAAGTCTATTCTGTTTGTTAGGGCAAAAACAAAGAAGAATGAGACAATGACCTGACAGCATATGTGAGAAGGATGAAAAATATTTTCAGTTTTAATTATTTTAAATATAGTTATTGGAATTTACTCAATGTGTAAATGTTTTCTCTCATGCAGCTGCCAAAAAGGTAACACCTTTAACCACACACACACACACACACACACACACACACACACACACACACACACACACACACGCGCGCGCGCGCGCGCGCGCACGCGCACACACACACACACACACACACACACACACTCATTATAACCTGAAGTTTGCCTCCAAAGGCATCTATTTTTGTGAGCGGTGTGACAGTGCCCTCTGTTGGTCAGACCTTGAAACTACATCGTTAAAGAACGTTCACAGAAGATTTCAATCTTCTAATTAGGGGAATTTCAGAAGATGAAGCAAACAGTAAACGTGTTGCAGTTTTTCTTGCTTTGGGGCATTTTCTTACAGCAAACTGCAAAACCTAGTTGATAATATGCAAAAGCATAAAAAAGATTGGCTTGTTCAATAGGCTTATTCATATTTTCTTAGGACAGTTTACTATTTTTGTGTTTTCAAATGCAAACATATTATATTTTAAAACAAGTAGAGTGCATTAAATATTTGTGTTCAACGTTTTATGCTTTTTGCATTTTCGAATAACATTGGTTTGACAGATTTTGACAACCTCTTTACAAATGTTGTTTAAAAAACCTCGAGCAATGAAATGAGAATTATAGGTTTTAAATGGTACGACATTTAAGATCTGACAGATTCCTTTGACTGACATGACACGAGACTATATGTTGTGAAAGTTGAACTAACTATTAAAAGTATTTTAATTATGATCAGAGAATTGCACAAAAGGCAGTGGAAAAATATTATGATTAACACGTATTTGTATGACTGTGTACACATGACTTCTGCGACGTTTTAAGTTTTAAGTATTATTTGGAGTTTTGGGTAGGAATGAGTGACAGTTTAAACCACAAAATAGTATTACAAACACCATCTGAAAATAACTGGTAATTGTATTTTATTTCTTGTCACAAGACTCACATTCAAAGGAAAGTTCACCTTATTTTTAGTGGTTCTAGAAACTGGCAGTGTTCTCAGTTATTATTTCTCAAGATCAAAGAAACTGTTTTATTTTTCCAATCTGCAGGATTTTACATGTTTTTTTTTTATTTCATTTAAAGTCAGCGAGTTTCTGTCAAATTAATTTGATCTGCATTCGTAATGCTTCCCCGCCTCACTGTTTTTTAATTGACAATTCTGAAAATGCGCGTTATGGATAATTTGTCCCTCCTGAGCAACGGTTGGCTATGACGAAATTAAGAGGCGGTGCTCACAAGTCACGTGATAAAGCGGTCATTATGTGGCTGCGTCCGACAGTGCTATTGGGGTTGGTGGGCACCAGAGGACTAGTCAGAAGTATGGTGAGTAGAAATGAACGTGTTTAATGTGCGTTTTAACCCTTTTGCTTATAACAGACGGAACCGAGAGACTCTCCGTAGCCTAAAAGGGGAAAACAACTGTGTCACTTTGAAGCTTTCCTTATTTAGACGCGGTGCAGCAGATACAAGTGTCCGATGTTGTCACTGCAGCTGCTAAAGCTAACTTGATGGCTGCAGCTGCTGCAACAACAACGAGGCCCCTCCCTATTAACGTAGTATTAGCATTCCTTATAATGTTTGGAATGGATTAATAATTTTATAGCTAGAATTAACCACATCAAACCACGGTTTTGTTTGACCCACGCTGACTTTGTTTTGCACCCGAAACATTCTGTTTTGACTCGCTGTAGTCCGTGGTGACAATCAACAAGAACTTTGGTTCGCTAGTAATCCGTTTATTTGCCCTTTGGCCATTATGTGACAGGTAAGATTTACGATTACCGCTGACTCAAATCTAGGAGTTTAATCTGGTGTTTTTCCTGTCTAAGCCCGGATGTGTGCGGTATGGAGCGAGAGGGGGTGGGGGCTGAGCTGATGACACAAGTGGGGCAATTTACTCAGAAAATTCGGACCATGGCCCTGGGTTAACTTCCACTTTTTCTCGGGAGTTTGACTCCTCCTACTGCGTAACAATCAAATATATTGACGTTTTAATTGTTTTCCCACTTTAACGCTAACTGGTTGTTGCCCCATCACGTAAACTCACCTGGCTGTCTCTTCTCACTTTTTATGTGCAGTGTGCTCAGGTAGGAGACTGGCAAACTGCCAAGTCCATTTACGAGTTCTCAGCCAAGGACATTGATGGGAATGAGGTCACTCTTGACAAATATAGGTAAAATTCACCAGTTGCATTTCACATTATCAGTTTAGTTGCTTTTTTATGATCTGACCAAATAAATCTTTAGATTTTCTAAAATGTTGTCAACTAATTTTTTTAATTTTTGGAATTTGTTCTAGAATACTGGGGGGAAATGTCACATTTAGACTTCTACTCAATCATGTTGCAGTCTAAATCTTTTTTCTCTCCCCTTTTCTACCAGAGGATACGTGTGCATCATTGTAAACGTAGCCTCTAAATGAGGTAAGACGAAGGTAAACTACACTCAGCTTGCGGGAATGCACGCCTCGTATGCTGACAAAGGTTTACGCATCATGGGCTTCCCATGCAACCAGTTTGGTGGACAGGTAATTTGCATATACTGATCTTGGTGGCATCATCCTGATATTACAAAAGGGCTAAATAGACCTCTTGATAGATGGCTTATGTTCTCCTGCACCTGAAGAGCACATTAGATTTCTTCTGTGTGAAAAGTTTGATCCATTAAATTTTTTTAAAAATTTTGTATTATTTAGGAGCCGGGAACAGATGCAGAAATTAAGGAATTTGCCAAAGGTTACAATGCAGAGTTTGACATGTTCAGTAAGATTGAGGTGAATGGTGATGGCGCTCACCCTCTGTGGAAGTGGATGAAGGCACAGCCCAAAGGGAAGGGAACTTTTGGAAAGTGAGTTGAGTTTTTGCTTAGAAATGAGTCTTTTGTGATCTTTTGTAAATGACAATCCTTTAGCCAGATCTATTTGAGTTCCCTATTTGATGTACTTGAAGCCTGTCGTACTGGGATGTTTGTATTGGAGTTGAATGGAGTAGTTTTATGGCCATCCACACATTTTGGTTAATGCATTTTTATTTTACAATCCACAGCAACATCAAATGGAACTTTACAAAGGTAATCTTTTGTTTGGGGGGGGTGTCTCTTTAAACTATTATCAGCCTAAAAATCCTTCACCTCAAAGCTGCTGAGATAATATTGTGATATCGTCTTTGTTCTCTCAACAGTTTCTTATCAACAGGGAGGGGCAGGTGGTGAAGCGATACGGTCCGACAGAGGATCCAAGTGTAAGATCCAGCAGCTGTTTACATATTTTCATGCATGATTTACAAAACCTTTCAAATGCTCTTAATGTTTGCAAACCATAATCTGCAGAAACATTGTTAAATAGTGTTGGATTGTGGTGTCTGTTTCCTGCTCAATAAAATGTCTCTTTCTGCAGGTGGTGGAGAAGGACCTGCCCACATACTTGTAATATTACTACATGTTCCTCTGATCTCTCACATGGACTTGAGGGTCTTTGTGTGTGTGGGCCTGGACCAGTGACGGCTCTGTTCGTAAACCCGTCTTTGGAAGGGACAGAGCCTGATGATTCTAAGCGTGCAACTTATCCCCAGAGCCTGCTCACACTCGGCGTAGTAAGACCATATGAGAGGGCAGTCCCGATCTAGCAAACACAAACATTAAATAAATTGCATCATACGTTTGCAACAGTCATTCCTTTGTACATTAAATAGCACATACCTTTCTGCTTGGACAACTATCGGTAGTTGATGATCCTGTCAGTATCTCCTTTTCACATGTCTATTGGATCTTGATGGTGAGAAGACGGCGGCTTTGTTCATATTTGGTAACACGCAGGTGCTGAACAGATGCCGCTGGCGTTTGCATACACATGTGAAACAAGTTTTTAAAATAGAGTATATTTCCTCCCGTCTTGGCTCTGACTACTATTGTGTCCACTGATGGATTGTCTTGTCAGTGATGTTAAACCATGTCGTAGAGGGGCTAATGTTCATGTGATTTTATGTAACTACATAGATGCCAATAGAAAAAGACCTCGCATATTAAAAGCTACTGATAATATTTGCACTTTTCAAGGATTGCACCATTATGTGTGATTTAAAATAAAAATAAATGTCGTGTTGCATTTTTGTGTCAGTTATGTTCTTATGTAGCATCGCTCCTAACGTTTCAACTTTTTGTCTTAAATCTGAACTTCTAATTAAGTTTGATTTTGGTATTAGTTTTTCTTTAGTCCTGGGCTGAATTAAGTACTTTAATACAAAAGTTATTACCGGATCCCAGCAGTAAAACATAATTAAGTAGGAATAACGTATAATCCATAGTACAGCTGGCCTGTAATTTCTAAACCTGTTCATAAATGGAGAAAATGGGAATTAAATGAGACTAGAGAATAAGAGTTAAACATGTTTTGACAAATAAAAAAATATATATGTGGTTTTTTTATAATAAAACTAAGGCAAAATGTGGCTAATGGTCACAGTTGTAGCAAAAAGTCAAAAATGAGCCTGAACTTCCATCTGTTTCACAACCTCCTGAACTAAACCAGGGATTTCTGTATCTCGAGACTTCTGCGCCGGTTGACAGGTCAGGTCAGACCCACTCCGTGTGACAATCAGTGCAGCTTTCAGGAATGAAAAGTTCCTCCTCCATATGTTTCTGCTCATTTACAGAATTAGATCTGTTTTCAGTACACAAAAACTCATCTGGGCCTAACCTTTCAAGTTCTCAATAGATTTGGGTTTATAAGTGGGGTTGTCCATGGGTTAAGTAACGGCCCTGTCTTATAAACCCCATAGGTATGATGAGGCCCAATGTCACTTTCACCTTTTTAAACAGGGAAACTGACAAGATTGCTATCACCTATACAACTCACAGCCCACACTTTCAAATAATTTAGATTTATTCTTTCATTAGGCCATATTTTAATTTAGAAATATTCAGCAGTTTCCCCATAATTTTCAGCACAGTTTTAAATTTCATTAAATTTTAGTGGCATTCGTTATTTTAACAGACGAGTCTGTAATTAATGACGCTGTGACCCGCACGCGCACATGCAGCCGCAGCGCGAGAGGAGGCTGATGACGCGCAGCAGCGGCAGAGATGATCAGCAGCACCGCTGGTTCTGAGCTCGACGGCGTCGCTGCAGAACCACGTCTACTCTCCAGGAGCGATGTCACCCTAAGCCGCATCGGTACCGAACAGGGTGAAATGTCAGGAGGTTCGGTCTGTCCACAGCGCGTCGTCTGGGTCCTGTAGCATCAGCTGTTGGAGAGATGGAGTCGGTGCTGAGGGAAGGAAGCCTGAGCGAGAGTCTACGATCAGACTCCGGGGACAGCGGTATGTGTGGAAGTGGATGGTTCATATATGTTTGGGTATTTAGAAAGTCGTCCGCCTGGGGGTAGAGATGGGAGGCTATTTACAGCTGACAACAATTTCCTGCACAACAGGTAAATAAAATAGTATCCGTGCAAATGAATAATAAATGCTTGGCAGCCAGCAGGGCCATGATTGGATTCACTGCTGTGTTGTAAATGCCAGTAGCTCTCTGCATGCTGTCACAATCAGCTGCACGATGATGTGCACACACAAGCAGGGGCCCTGTTGAGATGAGCTACATTAATCCTACATTACAAGCTGCTGTTTACAAAATCAATAGTGCAGAACATGTTTGCATGAATCCTGCACTTGATATCTGTCAGCAGGTCCATGCTCTCATGTCCTCTTCCTAATCCGCTCCAGGAGACGATTCTTTTGTATATACAAAATTATAAAATAAACCTCTGTAATTGTATGGATGAGAATTACAGGCAAAACATCACAGATGTGGTTGAGTTTAGCCAGTGCAGGGAGATGCATGCGCCTTCATGTTCTGTTGCTACAAAGATTGATATATTGTCAAATATTTTTGCATGCAGACACAGAATTTGTCCATGTTTAGCATCACTTAACATTAATTTTTTCAGTTGATAAGCGAAAGTTTCAATTATTTTTATTACAGCACACTCTAAGGCTCAAGGCATAATTTAAACCCAAGTAAACATGTTTATATGTAATGAATACTCTGATTTTACTGTAATATGTCTATTTCTATCCTCCGCAGCTATTTCCTTCTGTACTCATAACAGATATGGCAGCGTAGGGTTGTCCTGTTTGTTGCTTTGCAGCTTAGTGACACATTATTCTGATCTGACCCTAATCCCTCAGACAGTCTGCGTTCTCCTGTGTCTCACACTCATAGATGTCCCACTATTAACCTGCAGGTTACAGCTTCCTGGTGGAAACCAGGTCTTGTTGCAAGCAGCTGCTCTGACGGGGGATCCTAAAGGTCACGATGTAGCAATATGCAGTTTGTTCAGCTTAGATCCATGAAATCTGCAGATGAAACCATGGTGTGTACAATAGAAAAAAAAAAGTACTTTTAGTAACTTTCAGTTATTTATAATTTGTAATATGGTTGTGTCTGGTTCAAATGACAACATTTATCTTCAGGTAATCCTCACATTGTTTCTCTGTTGCCATCACAATGTCAATGTTTGTGGTTGAGGATGAAGACAAGCATCATCTAACTCCCTCTGAGCTAATCTGGAGTTATTTGAAATTAACTGTGGCAAGGTGGAGAAATGAGGGCCCGGGCGGGATTCGATCCCCAGACTCCCGGGTGAGAGTCACCAGTCAGCCAAAGGGATATCCCCTTGGCCAAGTAACCAGGGGCATGATCAGTCGGGTCACTGTGACAGGACGCTCACACTGCCACACTACAAGAGCAAGAGCTATTCAAGTGGGGGCCATCAGATTCTGGGCCTTTATTTATTGATTAATGTATGACCAAATTTCTGCTAAACTAACATTTGCATCAGTTTTTGGCTTTTTTTTAAATCTGAAAATCCAGCCGTTGTTTGCAGAAACAGTAAAGATCTCATGAAGATTGTCTTTTTGTTATAAAAAAGATTTTTTTTAAGTAGCCATTTTTTCAAAAATAAATTTAGAACGTGACTGCAAGAAACTATAATAATTAAGTTGAATCTGTTTTTATTTAATTAATTGTCACTGAATAAATTAATTAAGCAGAAATCAATTCTGTTTGTGAAACTCAAAGTGTTCAGACCTGCGCTGGCAGCTTGTGTTAGCATGCACCTCAAAATATTTCCGTTATAAATCACTGAAAAGCTTTTAGTCAACATCACAGTCTCTGTCTAGGTCACACCCTCCTGCATCTAATCCAAACAACCATTCCAACACAATAAGGCAAAACGACATCGGTGATGTCTCGGGGGGGCTGGAAGGTGTCAGAACGGTTAAGAACTGAACTGAGAAGACCGGGAGTTCAGCTGTAGTATGGAGTGTGTGACCAAAACATGGAGATACAAGCGTTGGGCCGGACCACACACAGTAGGGATGCAACAATACCACTTTTTTTCAAACTGATACGATACCGATGCTTGGATCTGATTACTCGCCGATACCGATACTTCTAGCACACAGAAATTGCTATGCATTGGAATGTAGGTTTTATTTTCTTCTCTGCTTTCAACAGCAAAAGACTGTGAGGTAGATAAAAAGTAAAATATATGAATAGAAATGATCATAAAACTAAAATATTAGGTGAACAGAAACGACAAGTTACAGTGAAGCCACTTTTAAGTGACTGCATTGGTATCGGTTACCTTTTACCGATACCAGAATCGGTATCCTTAACACGCAGTAATTATAGGTAACGTCGTACGAGGTTTGAAGGGAAACAAACTCATAGCGCGTAACCAGAAAAGAAAGGCGTAGGAGATCCCGTGACCTGAAAACTTCTGGAGAATGGAATGATGGGAAATGAAGTTTAATGCTTAGGTGAAAGTTGGTGCAGCTGAGTGGGAACCGTGGCAGTAGGGGTTCTCCCATATTACAGTCAGGACTGACAAAGCTCCTCAGATGAAAAGCGAAACGTCTTTAAGAAACCAAAGAAGTCCAGTTGCCTTCATTTGAATCCTTTGGATTATAGTGATGTTTGTATAAATCTTTATTCTGTTGTCTTCTCCTTTATCTATGAGGGTAAAAATGGTATTATATGCATCTGAACTTTCCTTTTACACCATCTACTTGAGTGTTTTCTGTGTAATTTAACATTTCCACCGTTTAATCTCTAACAGCATCTTTTATAATCTTAATCTATAGTTAATATTAAGATGATGGAAACCAAGCAGCACCCCTCTCCTGTGTCCTCATCTCGTAGACCGTTTACTTTTGTCACTTGTTGTTTGGAGAGAATCTCTCTAATCCTCGTGTGTGATTGGCTGGTGGTGTGATCTGCCGCTTTCAGCCAATCATGGCACTCGGATTAAAGAGGAAGTCAATCCAATAGAGTTTTTACCTCGCCTGTACAAATCTCACTGATCCAGGAATAGAAAACACCAGACTCCACTTCACACTTCTGAGTGATTTAGCCTCTTTTTGCTCCTTTTCCTTCGGGATCATCGAACAACTGAAAATCTGTAGAAAATCTCTCCTGCTGGTGAGTTAAAAATGCATCTGCAGCTAATCTAATGAAGTCTTGTGGGGTTTTAAACCCGTCATGGAGGTTAAACTGGTCCAGGTAACATTACTCCTGCTAAATAACACCTAATAATAAATAATGCATGAATGAGCAGCCTTTTAATCAGACTTTTTATTGTTCTGTTCGTCTACAGATTCCGCCAAGAAGGCTCAAATAACAGAGGTGAGAGGTCATTTCACACGATACACCAACCCGTCTTGTCTGTCCTTTTCTCTGGTTCATTGCTCCTTTCAGCTAAAACACTGTTACATTCATATTTACTGTTCCATGTGTTGGATTAGATGCCGTCCCTGTTTGGAGCAGACCCACCTCGGGAGAAGAAGATCGGTCACAGGAGGGTGGACGCCTCTGGAGAGACAACTTACAAAAAGGTAGGCCTGTCTTCTTTGACTTTAGGTCAAAACACATTTCTTTCTACCTTCCACCCTCTCGTTGTCACCTCTCTGCGCTCGCCACCATCAGACCACCTCGTCTGCCCTGAAAGGCGCCATCCAGTTAGGGATCGGATACACCGTCGGCAACCTCAGCTCCAAACCGGAGCGAGACGTCCTCATGCAGGATTTCTACGTGGTGGAAAGCATCTTCTTCCCCAGGTGCGTCCACATGAACGTGATGTGTTAGAAGTGTTTAACGTAACATCTCATTCGTTTTACTTGTGTTGCTTCAAACTGCTTCTTACAGCGAAGGCAGCAACCTCACCCCGGCTCATCACTTCCCAGACTTCAGGTTTAAGACCTACGCTCCCGTGGCTTTCCGCTACTTCAGAGAACTTTTTGGGATCAGACCAGACGACTACCTTGTAAGATCCACGTTTCCTGTGATCATCCACATCTTCTCGAGTTTCGTGCAACGTCATTTACAGACACAAATTCTGTTTTATTCAAAAACACAAAACTACAATATTTAGCCGTCATATCTCATTAGTATCGACATGACTTTAAACATATTTTTAAATTTAAATAATCGTCACTAAGTTTTAATCTGCTGATCAGTCTTTCCGTGTTAACCTTCTACATGCACAAACATGGAAGCCCATGCACAAACAATCAGATTCTAATTGGGCTAAAGCTTTGTGCACGGTGTTTGCCATGGTATCTGCGCGCTCACATTGACTTACAGTGTGTTTTGCAACACTAAAGCACATCGTCTACCTGTGCCAGGAGAGGGAGATTAGCAGAGTAAAGCTTTCTGTTGTATCGTCCCGGTAGTGGCATCAGACCCAGCACAGCGTGTGTTTGCATGTTTGTGGTGTTTAAACGCGTTTTCACTCAGCTTTAGAACATTTAATGACTTTGCTAGACAGGTTAACACCCTGCAAAGATCTGAGTGTAGTTTCGTCATTTTTCGTTGCTTATTTTGACGTCGGACTGAAACTAACAGTCGAGTTTATAGCTTTACGTCACTGATTAAGATAACTTAATCAGCCCTTTAACACACAGGTCTTTTTTTCAAACACAGCAAACAAGTATAAAAATAATAAAGATAAATATACTTTAAAAAATTCACAAAAAATGTTAAACATGTAAATTAGCAATAAAATGACTGCAGAATTATGCTGAATAGGTGAGAAGTGAGATGAAGGCTCACCTATGTTTCCTACCTCTACATTAAAGGGATACTATGCAACTTTTTCATATTTGTAAATCATTTTCTTGATCCACTATGTGCTAAAATAACCCTTTAAATGGTTAATGAAAGTTCACTCAGACCCCCATCGACCTCTGTGGCCCAAATACCGCATTTGCAACTTCAGAGTGCCAGTCTGGTCTGTTGTGGCTGACACACCTGGCGCTGCAGTTTGCCCCCAGCATGCTTCCTGCATGTATTATATCATGAACACAGCTGATTTGTTTAATTTAGTTATGAGTCGCTCCTGTAGACACAAAGGAAGGCTGGGGAGACAGTTCAGCTTTCAGCTTAAGGAGTTAAAAAGACGAACGCACAATGAGGAGACACGTTTTGCTTTTGGTTCTACTAAGTGGACACTAGAGGGTGCTAAAGCAAGCCAAAACTACCTAGTCTCTCTTTTTAAATGGACTAATTATTCTTTATGAAATAAGCGGAATATTTAAAGCCAAAAACAGATTAGCCTTCTTTAACAGAAACAATAAAAACTGACAAATATCATCATCAGCTGAAATATGTTGAACATTTGTCAGATGCAGTTTTATAAAAGTCGCAGCCTGGATGAAAAGGTAGAAAAGAAATCTGTTTGTCCTCCCTCCAGTTTTCACTGTGCAACGAGCCGCTGATCGAGCTGGCCAATCCCGGAGCCAGCGGCTCCATCTTCTACGTAACCCGTGACGACGAGTTCATCATCAAAACCGTCCTGCACAAGGAGGCTGAGTTCCTGCAGAAGCTGCTTCCTGGTTATTACATGGTGAGAACATCTCATTCATTTTAGTGAATACGTCTAGTATAAAAAACAAGTGTGTGTGTGTGTGTGTGTGTGTGTGTGTACATGAGCACATGCTTAAGTAGAGCTCTGCAGCAGAAGCTTGTAGTTATCCTCTTTACCGTTCCTCCTGGAGTTGGCCCTCTGTCAGCTGTGACATCAGCAGATGACTTTGTGAGATCTTTAAAAGGTTTAATCATGAAGACCTTAGCTCTCGGTTTCTGTCGAGGCATGTGCAGAAGTCACGCTCTCCTGCAGGTGCATGCTCTTCTGATCCTGCAGCACAAGAAACAACTGCTCATCAACCACAAATCAAATGTAGTTTCTCTCTTTTTCCTCCTTTAGAACTTGAATCAGAACCCCCGCACTTTGCTGCCTAAGTTCTTTGGACTCTACTGCGTCCAGTGTGGAGGCAAGAACATCAGAATTGTTGTTATGAACAACATTTTACCGTGCTCTGTGCGCATGCACCTTAAGTTTGATCTGAAGGGCTCGACGTACAAGAGACGGGCATCCAAGAAGGAGAAGGAGAAATCCAAACCCACTTTCAAGGACCTGGATTTCCTGAACGACGTTCCTGAAGGCCTCATTCTGGATCAGGACACATACAGCGCTTTGGTCAAAACGCTGCAGAGAGACTGTCTGGTGAGAAGAACAAAAACAAAGAAAAACACTTTAGAAATTAAAATAAGTTAACATTCAGACAATAAATCGTGTTTCCTGTCAGGTTCTGGAGAGTTTTAAGATAATGGACTACAGTTTGCTGCTTGGCGTCCACAACAAGAGTCTTGCAGAGAGGGAGCAACAGTCCCAGGGCTCCCCCACAGCTGGGGGCGATGAGAAGAAGCCTGCAGGCCAGAGAGCTCTGTACTCCACAGCTATGGAGTCCATACAGGGGGGGTCCACATGCAGGGACACACTGGACCATGAAGACACGTGAGTCACCTTCTCATCATCATTATCATCGTATCGAAGCCACACATGATCCAGACGTGTGTTTCCTGCTTTAGTATGGGTGGCATTCCTGCTGCGAGTGGGAAAGGAGAGCGCCTCCTGCTGTTCATTGGAATTATTGACATCCTTCAGTCATACAGGTGATGCTTTAGGGATCCTTAATGAAAAGATTGTTAAGGATTTTTATTATTTTTAATACAAATGCTTAATTTAAACTTGAATGGATTATAACTGCAAAAGGGCAAGTTACAAAATCTTCCCACAAAAGTATTCTCACAAGGGAAAATAGATGAGTGTGGGTCATCGTGACATGTGGGAACCTTCTCATTGGCACCACTACAGTTCCATTTTAGGATGGAAATGCTTGTGCTGAGGCCAATCGAGGCGTAAATAAAATAATTTACAGCAATGCAGTTTGATCTTAAACTCAAAACAAATGGATCTAATAAGATAGAATGGATCCATTATTAAAGAAGTATTTTAGATTGATGTTTCTACAAATACTTCACAAGAGTGACTGATTGTATTTTAATGTCTTTTCTGACAGATTGATCAAGAAACTTGAGCACTCTTGGAAGTCTCTCATCCACGACGGAGTAAATCTTCTTTATTTAAGCACATGAAACTGTTAATGTGTCTTTTTTCAGTTTGAACAATTATTTGTTTCTGGGTTTGCTTCGTTTCCCCACCACAGGACACCGTGTCCGTCCACAGGCCCGGCTTCTACGCTGAGAGGTTCTACAGGTTCTGCAGCTCAGTCGTCTTCAGGAAAAGCAGCTGTGAGTCCACACACACACACACACACACGCACACACACACACACACACACACACACGCACACACACACACACACACACACACGCACGCACGCACGCACGCACGCACACACACACACACACACACACTAATACAAGCATCTGGTTTGAGATCGGGTGATAAGCCCAGTCATCTGGGAGGGGCTTGGAGTAGATCCACTGCTCCTCCACATCGAGAGAGCAAGTTGATATGGCTCCGGCATCTAGTTAAGATGCCTCCTGGACGCCTCCCTGGTGAGATTTTCTGGACACGTCCAACCGGGACAAGACCTAAAGGAAGACCCAGGACACGTTGGAGGGACTCCTCCCAAAGGAGGTGGCACAAGTGGCTGGGCATGTTCAGGCAGCTGCCCCTGTGACCCGACCCCAGATACCGGAGGAAGATGGATGGATGGAGTAAATGTTACTCCCTTTCACACAGCTTTGCGATCATCTCCCTCTAAGAGAGGCAGAGGAATGCCGTCCAAGTCCAGTGCTGGAACCGGGTCAACTGGGCAGCGCCCTTCGCTGTGTGATGAAAGGCAAGACAACTTTGAGAACCTGAGAGGAGCTCGCAACCTTCCCATGCTGGATGACAACAGTAAGATACGTTATAAGAATCTAAAACTATACAGATGTTGATATTTTACAACTATAACGGAGTAGGTGTACTGGTTCTGGGCTTGACTCATGATCTGGTCCTTCAGGTAGGGATCCTCCTTCCTTTGAAGACGCCACTACAGCATCCATCGCCACGACTCTGTCGTCTAACAACTCTTTACCCACCTCGCCGTTCGACACACCAGAACATCCACGCTCCAGAAGACAGATGGCTTCACCGAATGTGGCCAGGTCAGAAGATAAAACGTCAGGAATCCAGTTATGGACGTTCGTGTCAAATCACACTTTGTTTTTTATTTTTGTGTCCATAAAGATCACAAAAAGAAGTTGTCGAGGTTCACGGTGATCGCCAGGAGACCATAACCGTAGAGGTGGAGCTGAGGTAAACAGAATGAAGTGATGAGCTTAAACAGCCATGTTTGTAGTTTTTTTAAACAGTTTAATTTGTTTTCTTTATGCAGCAAAATCCCACAGAGCACCGAGCTCACACAGATGACTGGAATCATCTCCTCCAACCAACAATCATCCCATCAGACAGTCTCCTCATCTTCCGCATATTCCTCCACCACTCTTCCTCCCTCTTTTGTGTCATCCTCCTCTTCTTCTGCTCAGTGTGCTGCTCAGTCATCCGCAACACTCTCCACATCCATCCGTCCATCCAACAAACCCCTCACCTCCCCGGAAGCGCTTCAGTCTTTAACCCCTCCTTCTCTGGTTTCTAAACCAGCCGTGCAACCTACAAGCACCGCCTCCCTCCCTCCCGCCTCAGCTTTCACCCCTATCTGCACTGCGTCCTCTCTCTCCCCCACACCTCCCTCCTCTCAGCATCTCCCATCAACACCTCCCTCCTCCTCCCCCTCAAGCCCCCAGGTGTCTCAGCAGGTGCCACAAAATCAGCTCTCAGTGTCCAGCAGCCACGACTCGCTGGACGGGGAGGTGCAAGTTTCTGACATTTACTTCGTAAGTTCAATCTGGATTTTACGTCCCCCCTGAAAATGATCAACTCAAGCTAGTGAAGCAGATTTGAAACCATCTGACAAGTGAAACGGAAATATTCCTTTTTCAGTGGTCCAGTCAGGATAGCGTGGTAGAGTTATGATGGTGAGCAGGTCTGAGTGTGCTGCAGTCTGCACGCACGCTCTGGCTGCAAAAGTCTTAATCAGACTTAAAATCTGCTTTTGAATGTGTCTCATCTTCACAGCATGAAGTTTGTCTGCCAACCCGTTTTGTGCATCATGTCATTTTCCACCCGTCAGCCATCTTTATTGATCTGCATTCCACACTTTAATACATCATCATGATGCTTTTTTTGTGTCTGATACCATAATCCACTCTCATCCATTTACTTCAATGTGTGTCTGTGTGTTCGTGTGTGTGTGTTCGTGTGTGTGTGTGTGTTTGTGTGTCTCCAACCATCAGTATGCGGATGGACGATATTGGGTGTACTCTCCGGTTCTTGGCCGTCGTAAACTTAACTCTAGTTCAAGTTACAATGTAAGTTTCCAGTTAGGTAGTGGTAGCTGTTAGGCAAACTGGGATTTGTGAGTAGTTGTTCCAGTCGCACCATCATATGCGCTGCTGATGTGGATCAAAACCAAACTCTAGCTCATTACTAACAGTAAAGCGTTTACTAAAGTTTGCAGAAAAGGGCATTGCATGTGAGAAGTGCTGCATCAGAATCTCCTCCGTTGGTTTTTAGAAATAAATAATGCAATTTTATATCAAATATTTCCACTAATCAGACAATTGAATGCTCAGAATCTAACTTTGGTTGTATTTGCATTGCTGGGAATGGGCTGTCTAATAAAGCTGCTCTGTGCATGTGTTAATGTTATGTTTAGATCTGCACAACTGGGAGTCAATCTGTAAAAAATAAACTAACTTAATACATGAAAATGCACGAATGCACTTCTGTTTTATAAACTTGAACAGCAGCTTTCAAATATTTGTGTGAAGCTTGTGGATCTCAGTCTTCTCATCATCTTCTGCCCCCTGCTGGCTGTATTGTTTTCTAACTGCAGACTCAGGAGGACCAGAGCTGGGTGAATTCTCCTTTTCACTACCGCTCCGAGTCCAGAAAAGGCTCCGATGGTGGGAGTGAGACAGTAAGTCTACATCTCATTCCTGAACTCCAAGAACAGAGAAGAAATGATTTGTTTTCCTTCTCTGGCGTGTCTGTTCCTGATATTAATCATCTCTCTTTCTCCTCCAGTAATCCCCCTGTGGGGACGACAGTGATGGGTGGAGTCCTCGAGTACAAAAGCGGTGATGTTTTGCCGATAAAGCCACGAGGATGCTGCAGACTTACTGCCGTTTGATGGGTGATGAAGCTTTCATCTAAAAAAAAAAAATTGGGAATGCATTTTGACAAATTAAAATGAAAGAACAGAAAAAAAATCAGTAGCAGCATGATTTACTGAACATCAGTTATTGGACAATGTGTTTAAAAATGCAAACTATCTGTTGTTACATAATTTTCCTGAGAGTTTGGATGCAGAAGCAGCAGCAGCTTAAAGAGCGAAGCGGGTCCAGACTTCTGTCCCTTCTCTGCCTATGCAATATCAGTTACAGATTTCTCTTATTGACTCTTTCCGTATTTCTGTCACTAGCAGCATGTCGGTTTGTAGGCTTTTGTTTTAGGCTCTTTATCAGTGTTCACACTCCAACCACCGTGTATTCACTACGTTCTTACTCTCCCTGTGCTGTGTACTGGTCCATTTAGAGAATCTGGCATAAGAGGTTGTGTTCAAATGGCCTTACTAACTCTTTAATATAAACACTTTGTATGCATCTTCCACTAAAACACAACTATTAAAAATATCTATCTGTAATTAAATGCCAACTATTTTTAGCAGAGTGATTAAAATGCATTATAGAAGGATAATAAGAAGCAATAGATCTAATAGTTTCTATTTTTTGTAAACTGTTGGTTTGCATGTGCTTAAGCACATACTTGATCTTGTGTTGCCGTGTGTGCGCACGTGCATGGGTTTGCATGCCAAAATGTAAGATGGGGACTTTTTTCTCTCCTCTCTTTTTTGTCAGATTGTGAAAAAAGTTTTTTTTTAGTCAGCTGAGAGCTTGAAGCAGCTACGAGCTTGTTGGCTCTGTGTGGAGAACAAAACACGCTTGGCTCGGTTTCCACCAACACTGGAGAGAAATGATTACACCAGTCTAAAACCAAATGTTCCCCAGTTTGCATATGGTGTGGTTAAAAACAGAAATGGCTGTTTTTATTGGTCCCCTGTGTGATAACATGCTGAAACAACAATCAGAATCATTTGACCCCTGTTTGAGTGTGAAACACCACTTATTCATTTTTTTACTGTTTAAATTCAGATTGCTGATGTTAACCTGCCTGTTTGTGGGCAACAGTGTTTGTAATTTATCACTGTGAACAATCTAATAAAGTTATATTGTGTTAATGATGTGGATGCACGTCTAATATAACAATTTGGCTGTGAAGTATCAATAGTTTGAACACCAGAGGGCGCCAGAGTGCCTAGAAGGTGTGCAACCCAGTGTTGCTTCATAGAGTGGTTAACTACTCACTGCTTTCAGTTTTCTTTTTTTTAACCATACTGCTCTTGCTCTTAGATACCGTTTGAAATTAAAATACCCAACATTCATCGGGGTATGAGCAACCTCATGAGTCTCTTTACTGTGCTCCTGATGGATCATAAAAGCGAGGCTCGTGTTTAAAGCCTCATACCTCAACCTCACCACATCACTCTGACATTTTAATGTACATAAATAAAACGATATGAAATCTTGATGACTTCACTCAGAGCAGATTGATTTTATTAGCGCAGGCTTGCTTCCACAAATAAAACAATAATCAATCATGTTGTTGTCCCTAACAGCTCCTTAGGACTTTTGTTGGATTAAAAAAACCTGCTTTTATTGATATAAATGTAAATGTTTTCGTTTAAAGGCAAAGCAGAAAGAATATCATGCAATATAAATGTGCTGTGCATGTGTGTGTGTGTGTGTGTGTGTGTGTGTGTGTGTGTGTGTGTGTGTGTGTGTGTGTGTGTGTGTGTGTGTGTGTGTGTTTGTGTGTGAGAGAGAGAGTCAGAGTTGTGAATTTCACTCATGGAGACAAGTCAGCCATGTCTAGCCATGATGGAATGTGTGATGGACAAGGATCAGCAGCTACCTGACCAATCGGCCCAGAATGAAATTGTCCTTCAACACACACCTTCACCTACACACACACACACACACACACACACACACACACACACACACACACACACACACACACACACACACACAACCCTTTTCTCCTTCCTCAGCCTGTTCAATCACCACTTCCTAATTTTCCATCAAGAGGGCATTCCTTTAGCAGAAGTGCAGCTCCAGCAGGAAGAGAAAGTGTGGGTGATGCTCAAAAGGTGGTGATTTTTTCAATCTGGTGCCCATCTCCAACAATCTCCGGGCAAACAGGCAGGGCACACCCGACAGGTTGCCAGCCCATCGCAGGGCAACACAGAGACACACAGGACAAATAACCACGCACACACACACACACACACACACACACACACACACACACACACACACACACACACACACACACACACACACACACACACACACACCTAAGAAAATTTTAGAGAGACCGATCAACCATAACCTGACAGTCATGTTTTTGGACCGTGGGAGGAAGCCAGAGAACCCACACGTGCACAGGTGTGTAGAAAGACCCCAGGCCAGGATTTAAACACAGGACCTTCTTGATGAAAGGTAACAGTGCTAACCACTGTGCCACTGTGCAGCCTGTTGTGGATTTTATCCCCAATTTTTGATAGATAGATAGATAGATAGATAGATAGATAGATAGATAGATAGATAGATAGATAGATAGATAGATAGATGATAGATAGATAGATAGATAGATAGATAGATAGATAGATAGATAGATAGATAGATAGATAGATAGATAGATAGATAGATAGATAGATAGATAGATAGATAGATAGATAGATAGATAGATGATAGATAGATAGATAGATGTGCAGGTGTGTCATCTGCAGTGTGTTGTCCGGCGACACAAAAGTTGTTCAACACTTTCTTCACCAATGTCTTTTAATTGAATATTTTGTTTTATTGACTTGACTTACTTTATTTAAAGTGGATGGATTGCCATTTTTTATTATTGTTGTAGTTTTGGTTGTGCTCAACTCACGTTAGAAACAAATTTCCCTTCGAGAAACAAGAAAATATGTTGAACTGGACTCACTAGAGCACCAGAAAATAACATCTTGTACATCTGAGTATATTTCCTGTCAAAGCTATTCAGAACAAACATGCTAGAATTGAAAAGTACGAGTGTAAAGTACCATCAGACCCGAATAGAGCCTTCACGCATGTTCTTAAAGTATCTATTTTAGGCTAAATTAGTTTTCACTCTGCCCTTCCCCTCACCTGTTCGCCTCCATCCAGCCACTACACACCTGTGATTTTGAATAAGACTCATTTCATCCTGATTTTCATAACAAAACAGCCTCATAAAAATGTAACAAGCACAAAAAGACCACCGATGTTGATTTTTAAACATGTTTTTAGTTTGAAATCTGATTTACAGACAAATTGTGAAGTGGCAGCACCTGTACCAAAGGTGAACGGGTCATCTCAAAGCCGTGCTTTCATCTGCGGGGAACATAAACAAATGCCTTTGTTCTCTCAAAGAAGAGAGGGGCGAAAGCCTCAACAAACAGGGCGAGCATGCAGTTCGTGTGCCTGCACGTGGAACGGGAAAAAAAAGGGAAGTAGAGCAAGAGAGAGAGAGTGCAGAGACAGATCAAAGCAGGGGGTATCTTTTTGAAACCCTGTGTGGGAGTTGAAGCCTCACCTACCCAGAATGCCTTGCCTTCCTCCTTGCAGCCCACTCAGGTTTTTAGGAGCATCACTTTTCTTTTGAGTTGGCGTGTTAAGCTACCTCTTCAACACTCATCTCCAGCTATTCTCAGAGTCTCGAAAAGGTGATTTGATGTGAGGCAGCAGTCGGTCTCTGATCTGTGCCACATAACCTGCGTCTCCCACTCACGGCTTCAGCTACTGAGTTTCTGCTGTTTTGACTGTTTTCTGGTGCACTGAACAAAAAGAGTATGCTGAAGGTCAACAGCTGGCTTCTTGGTTGGAGTCTTGGCTGTATCTTTCAGGATAAAACGTCTACCAAATTGGATTAACACCCATCCCACATTTCCAGAGACTTTCCAAGGGGTAGAAGCATCTTTTTTTATCTTAGCGTGAGAAGCTACAACCAGATGTCTGTCTGACCACACAGTGGGGATGTCATGCCCTCTCACACACACACGAAAGCTGTAAAAGACTCTCTGTTGTGTTGTCAATGTCTTAAGGCAGTGTTTATCTTTGGCTGATCGAAGAAAACAAAGACATTGATTTCTAATCCTAATCCCCTTCCACTGCTTCTACTCTATTGATCATCTATCCTGAGTTAATTAGATGGGGGATAGAGGTGTAAAAGAATGGGGGGCTAATGAAGGACAAAACTTTCCTAGATAATCTACCGCTATCTCTTGTCTTGACTCATCCCTTTTCACGAGGGTATCACTAACATCCTGGTACTTTTGGAGATGTTAATCAAAGGTTTTACACTGATTCTGGAGTTTGGTGAATGCACTAAACACAGAGAATCATACAATTCAATTGACAGTGAGGGGGTTGAGTTGGTGTCAAAACAGAACTACTTCTGTCTGATTGGTATCAGTCACTCTTCACAGTCAGAGATGTGAAGAGTGTGTGATGGCAAACTTTTGGTTTCTATTCCTTCAAATTTGTGTGGATATGCAAATTGGATCCATTCATCAGACTGCAGCCATCTTGTATTTGTAGATTGGGGATAAAGTAGTCTGAGAATGCCAAGACAAAGGATACTGGCAATCCAGTTAAAGACAGCAATGAAGTCCAAGTGTGGCCAATTGACCCCCCCCCCCCCCCACCACCACCACCGAAAAAAAGAAGAAGAAATAAAAGAAGAAAAAAAAATCATCTGACACATATTTGACCTTAGACATATAATGCAAAATCTGATTAAAAAAATAAATAAAGCAGTCGTGTTTTTGTAGACGTTGAACACTATCAGGTTTATTACTAACCGTAGACCACTGATCCATCATTGTGAACTGTGTTCTCGAGTGAGATGGCCTTCTTTGTCGACGGTGGCACAGGAGTTAAGTGCTCGCCCCGTAATCGGAAGGTTGCAGGTTCGAGCCCCGCTCAGTCTGTCGCTGTCGTTGTGTCCTTGGGCAAGACACTTAAACCACGTTGCCTGCTGGTGGTGGTCGGAGGGACCGGTGGTGCCAGTGCTCGGCAGCCTCGCCTCTGTCAGTGCGCCCCAGGGCAGCTGTGGCTACATCGTAGCTCATCCCCACCAGCGTGTGAATGTGTGTGTGAATGGGTGAATGACTGATTGTGTTGTAAAGCACCTTGGGGGGTTTCCAGGACTCTAGAAGGTGCTATATAGAATACAGGCCATTTACCATTCACCAGGGAGTTTGGACATTGGTACACCTTCATCTATAAGGCCATGCTTGGATTATTACCCACCTACATCTGTACTACTAGAACTAAATAACTATAATACTAGATGCTTTGCTGGGACTCTGACTCAGTGCTAATGCTAACTACAGCATAACTCACTTGCAGCTAATCTGAGCCCCGACTGCTACAAGGATGGTTGAGACGGTGGTGCTTTTATAACCTACAGCCACAGAGCTGCTACATAGTACTGTTCTTGGATATGCAGAATTGTTCTTGTTAGCCATTGGCTAAAACCAACTCATAATAAACATGCTCTATACTATTGAGCTGAAGAGGGCGCTATACTGACGTTTTTAGACAGAATTTAGTTTTCTAAGAAAATGCATCAAAATGCAAAAATAATGACTACAGCTACAACACGATTAGACACTCATTTATTCTAGTTATCAGCTAAAAAAGTTGATTTTGGTGTGACTTGCTCTTTAGTCTCACAAAGAAGTGTAACTTCTCACCATCTGCGTGCAAATGATCAATTGTTAATTTGTTACTTTGTGTTCTGTTTTCTTGCACCAAACTGAGCAAAAGGGCTTTCGCTCACTCTGCTCCGTTTGCATGCAACAGGCTGCAGGAAAACTGGAAATTAACCGAGTTTATCTCCTTGATTACATTTAGAACCAGATTAAGAGCCTTGAGACGGATTCCATGTGTTATAAACCACCTTCTGTAATTTTCTACATAACATGTCTGTGTAACAGAAAAAAATCAGTAACTGTAACTTTTGCTGCCTCTTGGCCAGGACTCCCTTGAAAATGAGCTTTATAATCTCAATGGGACCTTCTTGGTTAAATAAACAACAAATAAAAGAAATAAAAACACTCGTTCAAGCAATACATCTGCAGAGGTCTCTAAAAGGAGTAAA